AAAAAAAAAGAAGAGGAAATGGGGGCAAGGTCTAAGTTGAAAACCTAAAAAGGAGACTTAGGCTAATGACAGCAAGAAGATCTATTGAAAGGAGATAATCAAGAGGGAAAGTTTTCAACACGGCATTAATTCATGAAAGGGGAACTAAGGCTAAGTCATTGACCTTAGAATAAAAAGGGATGTCGTTTCAATGCGTTGAGAAAGGGATGATATCACTATTGTGGAAAAATTGTTGAGGAAGCTTTTCTTGCCTTTTAATTGCTATATGTAATAAGAACTTCCTTCATACCAGATTCATTGTTGCATTTCTTCCTAATAAATTTTGAAAATTCCTTTATGTATAAATTCTTCATTTCCATACTTTCATTGGAACATTAAATAGTCAAAAGCTTGATGCTTCATTTAATATGATGGCTTCATTCAATATTGCCTTTGATACACTAAAGATTTGTGATAGTCACAAGAAAATTTGAAGTTGTCTAGTGTTTAGAAAAATACTTAAGCTAGTAAAATGATTATTGCCAATTGAAAAGAAGAGATGAAGACTGCATCTCACAAAAGATAAGATGAGGACCACATCTCACAGAAAAAAGAAAAAAAGAAAAAATGAAGATCGCAACTCGCAAAAAATAAGATGAAGATTGCATCTTAGAAGTCACATCCTAGATGAAGACCGCATCTCGCAAAGGATAAGATGAAGACTACATCTTAGAAGTCACATCATAGATGAAGACCGCATCTAAGGAAGAAAAAGAGATGAAGATTGCATCTCATCAAAAATAAGATGAAGATCGCATCTTAGAAGTCACATCCTAGATGAAAACCGTATCTCATTAAAGATAAGATGAAGACCGCATCTTAGAAGTCACATCCTAGATGAAGAACACATCTCAGGAAGAAGAAGAGATGAAGACCGGATCTCACAAAAGATAAGATGAAGACCGCATCTTTTTTTAAAAAAAAAATCCGTAAATGAAGATGGCATCTCAGAAAACAGAAAAGAAGATGAGATGTTTTCTATTTTTCTTGTCCAAGTTTAAAATTGGGTTGTTCTTTTATTCTTTACTTTTTCTTTTTGAAAGAAAAGAAAAGTAAAGAGGGGGCAACTGTCATAACCCAATTTTTATTAGGCGGCTAAATGATAAAATCAGAGATCGATGGACTACTTTTGTAAAAAACTGGAAACTTGAAGGGCTGAGAGGAGGAAATGGCAAAACGATGTCATTTTGCCAATGGGCCAAAAAAATAATAAAAAGAGAGGCTGGGTTCAGATGAACCCTAGCCCTCATTTTCACAACTCCTCTTGTTTCCCTTTTCCTTTGCCGCTAGTCGTTCTCCCTAAATTCCCAAATTCTTTTGGTTTACCCCTAAATCTATTCAAGTTCGGATAGATTACTACATCAGTGAGAAGAAATATCCAGATTAGAAGTCTTCAACAAGAATTGCAGAAGAAGTTTTCGAATTCGATTCAAATTGGAAGTCCTGATCTTTGAGAAGGTATGAATCTAGCCTTGAAATAGGGAAGATGTGTAAAGAACCAGCTTAGTTTTAGAATCCCAATTTCGAATAGGGCTAGATCATTATCTTTAATTATAGGGATTGGGATTAGAATTTAGAATGAGAAAAGGATTTGAGTCCTCTCCATTTATGTATAAAAGGGGGGGCCTTTGGCTTTGGGGGGCATTCGAAAATTGAGGGCGAGAGAGAAATCTGAGAGTCGAGAGGGAGAAAGAGAGCAAAGAAAAGGAGGAAATACAATAGCTTGTATTTGGAAGTTCAAGGAAAATAAAGTCTGATTCCCC